TACAAAGTCAGAAAGGGAGCTTTTTGATGGCTGCTGTCAATTTTATTGCTTTATCCTGGTTACTAGGATGGAAATCTGTAGACATGGCCTGTTTATTGGTTTTATGTATCGCGTGTTGTTGCTGCTCTGACAAGCTAGTCCTATAAAAATGTGCTATTATTGCATGTTGTGGCTCAGTGAGCTGACCCTGCATTTCAAAGAGTACTGGAGCAAATGGCATCAAAGTCCATAAAAACCCACTGGCCTCCATCACAGAGGACTCAGCATGAGCTGCAACTCCCACAACCTGGACACAAATTACACCTTCCCCCGTGCCGGCAGCCACCACACTAACTGGACACAGCCCAGAGCCAAACACAGGCATCACCTGCAAACCTTCAAGGCAGGAAACTAGCGTATCACTTCTTCTCACAAGGTTCTCCAATAAGTGCTGTTTCCAATTTTCAAGTTTACAAAAGTATGTTTTAAATGGCTTTTTAATGTTTTATGTATTCATATACGATGCAGGAGGGGTAGCCAACACTGTTTTCTATCTGCTCTGAATGCTAACGAGAAAATGAAACTGAGTTACAGCAGGAGAAGACATGGTTAGCTCTAAGCAAGTCACGACTGGGGGTGCTGGGTATTAAGCCAGAATCAAGATCCTGGTCCATCCAGTTAGAATGTCTAACCCGGGGTGGGGGAGGGTTAGCCTGAAGGCTGCAGAGGAATGGGCCAGCCCAGTGGGGCTCCCAGACCGTGGCTTATCACAGAATTACCTGGGGGGATACTTTATACACCATATTCCCGTGCCCCATCCTAGATATTGGAAGTCTGTTAGACTGGGGTTGGCCTAGGACTCACGGCCAAATGATTTCGTGTAAAATCCTTCTCTGATCTTAATTTTTTATCAAAAGAAAAAAGCAGAAACATATGTTAGCCTTCCTGAGTCAAAGAGCTGAAGCAGCGCTCTACAGTCCCTGAGAGGAAGTGCCTGAACCAAATGGGAAGGAGGTCTGAGGAGCCTTGGAGCCCAAGGGCGAGGCAGGTTGGTAGGCAGCTTATTAGTCCCCTGTGCCAGGCCACAGGTTCTGCCCCTCAACTAGCCTGCTCTGCCACCTACCCCCACCCACTGCCGCTCTATTCCTGCTAGTCACAATGTGAAATAATGTATTAAATATTGTGGGTCTTGATAAAGGAAAGAACTCGCCAGAAATTGTTTTTTATAATTTAAGATTGCCTATTTAAGATTAAATACTGAACTTCATTGAATATCCTCCTTTGATTCCCCCTGTCTTTAGAGAATATTCTGTAAGCATTTGACTGTTCGAGACATACTAGATCCTACGAGGGCGAGCCGAGGACAGGGTCCAGCGGAGCATCCAGCCGTCTTCTCCTTCTCCCGTGTTGGTTTACAGGCTTTCTAAACTGCTTGGGGCTCTCTTTTTCTTTCTCTTGTCCTTGGGAGCAACCTAAATATCCAACGATAGATCAGTGGTTAAATACATTAGGGGATAATCTGAACAAATAGGGAGGCATTCTATATTCTTGGGTGGGGTAACAACATTATAAACATGTTGATTCTACTAGAAAATGGAGAAATACAAATGAGATAAAGTTTTATACCTATTGTCCTGGCAAAAAAGAGAAAGCTGGGTAATAGTGTAGGTGGGATGGGATTATAGGGGCTGCGTGCACTGCTTATGGGTGTGGACTGGAGCAGCCACTAGGACCACGTGGCACTAATTAGCCAAATTAAATATGTGACCCACAAACTGTTCCGGGTATATATCCAAGAAAGTTTCACATTTCCAAAATGATATTCAGTGCAGCATTATTTATAGAGAAGGAAACTCCAACCTGAGTGTTCATCACTAGGAAAATGAACAGGTAAAATGTGGGACACCCACCTGGGGTATGATACACGAGTTAGAAGCAACGGATTAGATAAGCTATAGCAGGGTAACTGAATCTGAAATGTATAGTGTTGGGGAGGTCACTGAGAGGCTGTGACTGCCAGGTGACCCACAAGCTACCCCCTGGCAACTGGAGGGTCCTCGCCCCTCCCTGTCCTTGGAATGCGTGCTCTGCCCAGTGTTCCCTCCGTGGGAGTCATTTTCAAGGACGCAGCCTTGAGGCAGCAAGGTGTCGCTGAGACCACCTGGACAGCGTATGTGACTGAACCTCACGAAGGCCTCTGTACAAACTAAGATTCTGGCAGGTGGGTGAAAAGAGCTACTTTCTTACGGCCGCCACAGACGGGCCTGTTTGCACCCCTCTTGCTTACTGAGACTGCTGCCCACTCATCTGGAGAGGGCTGCTCGTCCCTTGGTCTCTGCTTGCCCTCCGTGTGCAGGGGCCAGTTTGCAAACCAGCACACAGGGCCTGATGGAAAAACAAACCCATAATGACACGTTAACATGAGTATCTTTATAAATTAAAAATACATGCATACAAAACAATAATACCTATATAAGAACACAAAAAGATAAACCATTCACGTGGTTGCCTATGGAGTGGGAGGGGGAGAAGGGAGGGAATGTAGGGATAAATGAAATGAACGTTGGTATGAGCCAAGGTCCATGTGCCAAGAACTGAGGCATGAGATGACCTCAATCGCTTGCGCCCGAGGTTCTCTACTGTGCGCGTGCACATGGAAAAAACCAGTATGGCACGTCCATAAAATGAAATGCCACACAGTCACTGTAAGTAATATTGCAGACCTGTATTTATAGGCACTGAAGTATATTTGTGATTTAATTCTAAGCAAAAGAGCAGGTTATAAAACATGCCGTCTATTATCTCATTTTTGGGAAAAATAAAAAATCTATACAAATGGAAGAATGACAGGGTTGGTGGGACTGCAGTGATTCAAACGTTTTTCTTGCTTATCTGTAGTTCTAATTTGCCTTTAATAGCTATGCACCGCGCAGTAAAGAGGAAATAAGAGATTTTCTTTGAAAGACTACTTTTGATTTTTACAGAGGTACAAGAATAATACAGAGGCCAGTGGTTCGGAGAATTTACAGGGACTAAATACAAGACAGTGACTTTTTTCTACAGCTTTGTGTTTTCCAATGTAAACGGTCAAGCCCCAGCTTTATAGGTTGCTCTTCCCCTTTCCTTGAGGACAGAGGGAGCCCCACTTATCCTAAGGGCGCGCACTTGACCGGCCCAGGCAGCTGGGACTCGCATTACAGATGGCTCTGCGCGGAGGACGCGGATGGGTGTCCACAGGAGTAAATGTGTCTCCAGCCCAGGAAGGCCACTCGCGCACAGCACTGTTCACAGAGTGTGCCTTCCAAGGGGACAGGGCTTCCAGGCCAGGACTGGGCCGTCAGGGCTGGCCGCGGTGCCACCAGCGTGGCACTAAGGGGTGGGCAGCCGCAGCAGGCTGGTTCGGCCTCGCACCCTCCTTGTCCCCTCCTGGCCGACAGCCACCTCCAGGCCGTGCGTGACGAAATCTCTTCACGGCTTTCGGCTTTACAATTAATCAGCTTTTGTAAAGCCATGTGGAGCCATAAAGGGAGCCACACGCAACAGAGCTTTCTCCTCCCGCATCGGAGCGGACCTGGCTGGCATGTCATGTGCAGGGAACTTCAGTCCCCTGGCAGGTCCCGCAGCACCAGCCCCACCGCCCGTGACGTTAGGCGACGCTCGTCTCAGGAGGCGCCGGGTCGGGTTCAGGGAGATTCCGCCGCATGTGTCCTGTGTGGGCTGCTGCTGTGGACTCGTCTAGACCTGAGGTGTCTAAACTGCCACAGAACTTGAACCTGGGCCAGGCTGACATTCAATACTCAAAAAAGCCGTGGTCAGGACGCAGGAGGCGCGCACGATTTTAACTGGGGTCGTGGGTAAAGAGGGCCGCAGCAACATGACTGCTTTGAGGAATGAATTAAAAAGGGGGTGGGAAATGGGCGACATCTGCAATAGAGCCAACAGTACAAACCAAACAAACACACGGTAAGAGGGAATTTAAATTTGAGAACTGCTTACCACTGAGTTCCTTAACGCCTGGCCCATACTGAAGGAAGCAAATTTCTATAGTTAATACAGCGACACTTTTCTATGTCATATTTGTGTTGTGACCTGAACATGCTAGATGGGAAATTGCCTACTGATTAATTTAGAACTAATAAAGGAGCCCGTTACACAGAACGAATAGCTTCCTTGGCTCATGGTTTCCCACCAATCATCGAATTCATAATTTTGCACCATATGAAGTTTTCTCTTTGTAAAGAAAGAAATGAAAGGCTTACCTCATTCCCAGAGGGGCCTGGATCTGAAGCCAATTACATGGCATCTGGTGATGCTTAGAAAGGTCAAGAACTTCAGAACCAGAAAATTCTAGATTCTAATCCAAGCTCTTTACAAGGTGTATGTTAAGCAAATTACATAGCCTGCCTGGGCCTATTTCCTCACCTGTAAAATGGGGATGTCACCACCATCTGGTTTGAGGATTGTTTTGGGGCTCAAATGAGACAGTCGATGAAAAGCATCTTGTCCAGTCCTAAGCATATAGATAAATAAATGAACATATATAACATATAAATGTAATTCTGTCATCTATCATCTATCTATCTAGACAATATTAGACAGACAGTAGTGTTGGGTTGCTTGCTTCCTTCCTGTGGTTTCAATGATTTTTAATTATGAGGAGACAGGAGGGAAGGAAAAGAAAGCTGAGAAGGCCCGATGGTAATTGATGGAGGAAGGTTCTGGGAGACTTGAGGGAGGTGGGGTCACTGAGAAAGGACACCTTTTCCTGAGACCGTAGGGAGATGGAGTGAGGTGTGGTAGCTGAGTTTTGCGGGCAAGGAAGGAGGTTGGTAGAAAATAGGAAGCAGTTAACGGAGACTCCGTCTTGAAGAATGGAATATGTTTAAGTTAAAAAATCAGCAAACCTTTCAACTCAACAAAGGGCAATCTGCAAACACCATACTTTCTGTAACAGAGTTATATTCAGTAGCATTTTAGAGACAGTACGCATGTGTGTATATGTAAAAAAAACTTATTGGCCATTATCTTTTCATGCCAAATTTTATTTTCAATATTATGCGACTGCATAAGTATAAATATTTGTTCAATATACAACAATGATGACATCCATAGGGAATTTCTTAGAGAAAATAAGACTGCAAACACTTTATTGCACAGATCCTAACAAACGTTAAGCTGGTAAATCTACCGCTGGGAGTACTACCGAGGGGCACGTCTTACAATCACAGGAGACTGACCAAAGGGAACACAGGAGAATATCTACCAGCCGAGTGGAGGGGTTTACAACAACAAACAGGTATTACATGAATGCAACCTTAAGTACTCTTTACTCATCCAAATGCAAAAACATATTTGGCAAAAATGATAATACACTATACAAAATATACATAAATATATCATTTGTAAACAAGCACCTAGTTGTGCTTTAAAGGAAACTGGACAGTTAAAAAGCAAAGGCTGTAAACCATGAACCGCCTCCCCGATCGGCCTGTCTCGATGCCTGAATGCAGAAGCATTGGGTTACAACCACCGACAAACAGATATGAATTATAAATGCTGAGACCACTTTCAAACCCATTTAAGTTCTTGTAAAATATTTGTTTCTTCTACAACTTCACAATGTAGTGATGGGGAATCGCTAAAACTACATGGGAGAAAAAAGGGCAAGGAGACGTTTCCTTGCTTTTGCTTTTTCTATTGTCATTGCCAACTCCTTATACAATGAAAGACAACCAAGCAGCTGGTTAAATTATGCCTTTGTTTTTGGAGCGGAGTTTACAGCCTTGCTAAATGATTTACAATCCACAGGGCTACAGGTGCTTAGATGAGGGATTTTGTGGCCTAAAGATACTAAGACACCCCCAGGGGGTCTGGGTGCTGGGTTAGTGTTCACTGGTAATTTTTTTTTCTTTTACAAAAACAAAACAAAAATTCCTGCTATGGATCCCAAGCATCTTATAAATACTTATCTGTGTGTATTTTCTCTTAGTACTTAGTGCCCTCTTATAATGCAAAACAAGCCACCAGAAAAACTGCAACGAAAAACAAAAAAAAACCCTTCAGCACTAATATGACTGGACAAATTCTACGTATCCCATGGTGTACAAAATTCAAATAAGGCTTAGCAAAAGCAAAAGGACAGTCACACTCAAGCACCAAATAGCTCCCACAGGTCTTGTTACAAAAATGCTGCTCTTTATTAATACAGTCCTTTTTTGCATACAAATAAAGAGATCATGTCATGAAATATATGGAGCTACTCGATGCATCGGAAATGAATGTGAAACCAGGGAACTTGCTAAAAACAGCAAGTTTCATCTACAACATAAGGCCTCAGCTATGTATTAAAAGGTATCTGATGTCCTGGTTACTCCTTAATGTATATGCTGTATGCCAAAATCTATTCCCCCTCCTTTTCTTCAAAAAACAAAACCAAAAAAAACCCAAATTTAAAACATCTTCCAATGCCTATTACTCAACCTAAGTACTGGCAGATCTGTGTGCAGCCAGGAACCTTCCTTCTTGTTCGAGAGCAGAGCTGGTGCAGGACTACAAACGTGTGCTTCTCAGACTAGCGACTCACAGCAGAAAGGCCTGAGTTTAAGAGCATTAGAGGGAGAGAAAGCAGGAGGACAGACATAAAGACCAGGTGTGTTTATAGCCCCCGCTCTGCCTGGGGTGAAGACCCGACATACACAGCCACAGACCGGGACAGCTGGCCTCTCGGACAGGGGGACCCAGGAGCGGAGTGCCCACTAGGACGACCGTGAAATGACCATGACGGGCGCCATGTGTCTGGCCATTCCTGACGCAGGAGGGTTCTAATGCAGCGATCGGAGCACTTCTTGCTTTAGATCTGGAAACATAGGTAGCCAGATACAGTACTATCAAAATCTCTGGTTAAAAATACACATAAAAACTCACCATCTACTATATTTAGGGCTTTCCTGCATCTTCATTTCTACTTAGGATGTTTAACTTAGAAAAGTGAAGCCTTGAAACAGTCTCTTAAACCACAGACCAAAACATGTGGGTGGATGTGAATATACACGAATGGGGGGCTCTATACTTTCACATACATTGGTTTTAAACATTTTGCTTCATTACTACATTATGATAAGTGGTAAAGCAAAAATCTTTTTTTTAAAAAAAAAAGCTGTAGTAAATGATGCAATCAGCAGCAAGGTAAAGACTACGTCCCAAACCAAACACACTGCCGGATATTTACAGAGAAAATCCTTTCTTCAACAACTGTAACTGAAGGTATTTATTTTTTTCTTGCACAAACACTATCTGGTAACAGCTTTACCGGTTACAACTGGGAAGGCATTGGAAGAAGGTCCCTCTTTCACTCTCCCATCTTCTCTCCCTCTCCCCTCCCTCGGTGGGGCTCCAGGCTCTGCCCTGCGACGCTCCCACAGTGCTGGTTTCAAAAGGTAGTCAGGACTCAGGTACACATTCAGGACGGGGCTCCCCAGGGCCCCGGGGCCTGCCCCTTACGAGGCCTTTTTGTGAGGGCTGCTCCGCAAACTCTCTTTCCCCCGCCTCTGCCGGACCACAGAGTCCTTCTCAGAAGAAAGGGCCACGGGGCGGTCAGTGCTGGGAGCAGGGGACAGCTTGGTCACCTCTCTGCCCATGTTCTGTTTCCTGGTCTGAGGAGGCTGGGCCGGGGCAGGCTCCTTCCCTTTGGCTTCTCCGGTGGTGGCAGTTGTGGTGGCAGTCACTGAGAGGGCCCTGTCCCGGGGCCCGGCGCCCCCCACCGTGGCTGGGTTGGGGTGCTGTAACTCCACAGTGATGGTGGGGCTCCTGAAGGATGGCAAAGAGTCGCTCTTTGTCATCTGAGCTCTGCCATCGCCCCCAGACGGGGGTCTCCTCTGGTCCCTGCTGCTGGGGGCCGCGAGCTCAGCCGGGGACCCACTGGCCTTGGCAGGAGCGGGGTCGCTGCCGGCGGGGACCGCGCGAGCTGCGGGCCTGGCTTCGGGGAAGCTGCAAGAGGAGCTCAGAGGCTTCTCCGGGGGGCCGGGCGATCGGAAAGAGCTCTGCCCCGTGGCCGAGGGCGACCGCTTCATGCCGCTGGGCTTGCCTGCCTCGGTCTGCGGCTTCTGGGGACCAAGTCCTTTGCCCTTGGCCTCCGGCACGGCCTTCCCCGCGGCCGCGGCC